TATATATATATATATATATATATATAAATGGACGTGTGTGTGCCTATATTTCACTCTGCAGTCAAAACTACACATTGCACATGAATGGTGTTTGTATGTGGTAGTAGCCCCAAGTCTCCCATCGTGCACTATGATGGTTGCATCTCGATAACTATATGGGTGTGGGAGATATGGGGTTGAAAGTGGCTGACTTTGAAAATGTGTAACAATGGAAGTGTTAGTAATGGAAGTGTTAACAATAAAAGTGTTGAGTAACCAAGGATGTATTAAGAGAAAGTGGTGTGCAAGATTTACAGGCGCAGATGCTGTTTTTTGCGTTATTGCGGGAAATCAAACATATTTTTAGACCCATGTAAAAATTCTCTAATTAGTCTAGAAACGGGGAACCTAATTCTTGCATTCTGTAAAAACGGGTAAGATTGGCTATAATGTAATCTTAATCTTAAATGTTTTTGAATAGTCAAGGACCATTATGTGTGAGTAGTGGGGATGGCTTTTGAAGATGTGTGACGCACATGCTTCAGTTGATTTTTTCATAAGTAAAAGTGTACGAATAACAGAAAAAAGTAGAAAGTGAAAAGTGAATAGTGAAGTGAGAAAAGTAAAAATATACAAAACAATGCCAAAGCGTAAGAAAGAATTTTTGCGGTCTGGAATCATATTNCGACAAGAGCTCCACTACTTACGACTAAACAAAGGATTGTAGTGCCAATCGACCATCGTCCACGTTGGTGCCTACACAGTATTCATTTTTTTATTTTTTCATACTGCATGCATAGAGAAGGTCGTTCCAATCATGGCCATCATGTTTTTGGTCACACCAACAATGAATATGACTAGATAATAATGGATGAAACCAGAGATATCCAGGTTAACTCATCCTTAAAAAATTTTAAGAAATGATGTATTTAAATCATTTTAATTCTTAAGGATAAATAAGCCATTGTGCTTAACTGGGTCCATTAACCAGGTTGAAAATTTTAACATTCTTTAATCTTCTCTTCTTCTTAGTCCTATGCCCTTCAGAGGGTGTGGTGATATTATGGATTGACGGCTTTAATTGTATCTTTCCACTGTTCATGGCATTGTGTCATTTGGATGTTGGCTTCATACATTGTATGTCCTGTAATCATTATTTACCTGGTGTGCCCATCTGATCTGACGTCTGCCTCTATGGCTTTGCCATTGATCTTCCCTTCTAGAATTTGTTTCTCAAATCCATTTTTGCATCTGGAGATATGTCCCAAGAAGCAAAGGTAGGATTGGTATATTTTTGTGGTAAGGCATGTTGTGATTTTCAGTTGATTTAGGATGGAGCAATTTGTTCGGTGCTCTGTCCAAGAGATTCTCAGCATTCTTCTATATGTCCATATTTCAAAGGAATCAAGTTTCTTCCAATAAATGGCATTTATGGTCCAGGTTTCCGAGGCATAAGTGGCAATTGAAAAAATAAGCATTCTTATGAGCTTTAGTTTATTAAAAATAGTGATTTCAGAATCTTTCCAAATTCTAAATAATTTAGAGGTTGCATTGTGAGCATGGCAAATTCTGTGTTTAATTTCATTATCACATCCTCCTTTATTCATAAGAAGTGATCAAAGCTAAACAAATTCATTCACCACCTTACAGCCTGCAATTTCCTTAGTCTGTGTCAAGAAACAATCAATTATCATAACTTCCATTAATCAGCAATCCATATTCCCTGCTCTCAGTTTCAAGTCATAATATATTCAAGTTCTGAGTCACTGGATGAAGTATATTGTCAGCATATCTCAGGTTGTTAACTTTACAGCCCACAATGGAAATGCCTCCATCCCAGTTATCTAATACCATTTCATAATTATTTCAGAATAAGCATTAAAGAGTTGAGGGGAAAGAATACATCCCTGTCTTACACCAGCTTCATATGTAAATATATTAGACATAGTTTTGTTAACTCTTACTCTTGCAGAGTTGTTCTCATATAAATTTCTTATCATCAAAATAAGATGATGCAGAACTCCCAAGTTCTGGAGAGCGGGCCACAATTTGTGCCATTTTACACAATCAAAGGCTTTGGTATAGTCTACGAAACAAAGGTAAGCTTTGACATTAAATTCATATGCTTTTTCAATGATTTGTCAAGCATTCAAGATTTGTTCACAAGTTCCTTTACCAGGGATAAACCCCGACTGTTCTTCAGCTATTTCAGGTAAAAGGAAGGGTTTCAAACAGTTATTAATTATTTTGAGCATTTACTTTACTGAAATGGTTAATTAGCTGATAGTTCTGTAGTTACTACAATCAGTTGGGGCACCTTTTTTTATAAATTGGAATAAATTCTTTAATCTTCCCATTGTTACAGTGCATTCATTGATTAATTCATTTCTATTCATTTGTTACCACTATCTCTGTCTATATTTATGAGAACAAAAAACTAATGAAAGTTTTTTATTTTCATAAATATACACATACATTATAAAAGTGTTAATGTTTCATTTAATGAAGCACAAAATACTGATTTTGAATTTTGTGTTTAATATACTAAACTATAAGAAAAAACAAACTTTAAGATGGATTAAAGTCAAATGCTTTTAGCATTCATCATAAAACACCAAGTTTTATGAAAACATCAAGCAAACACCATAAAAAGCAGCAGCAAAATAGGAAGTACTATATTAATTCATAGTGGATAAGATGAGAGTCAAAACATTCCCAGACAGTTTACTACACTTTTACTGTTATGTCAAAAGTGTGCTAATTTCAACATAGCTTTAGTGTAACACTTCCTGAACACATTGCAATGCATTTCAACACTATGATGTAGTATTTCACATACCTGTCAAAAAACAGCTACTATACAGTGTAGTGGTAGCATGTTATCACTTTTCTCTCATCTGAAGTTTGTTTTCAAAGAGGCAAGATGTCTCAGTTTGAGCAGAGAGCGAGTGCTAAACTTTGTGTTCTAATGGAGAAATCAGACAAGGAGACTTTGGACTTTGCTACAACAGTTTATGACAAGCATGTCTTGGGTCATTCAACTACATTTGATTGGTGCCATCACTTCTGAGAAAGGAATTTGTTAATAGAGGATAATGACAACATTTGTAAATGGAGAAAACATCAATTGCATCATGACTTTTGTGCATAAAAGTCATCATTTGATATCAAGTTGGCCAACTTAACTAAATTTCCCATAGCAGCTGTCATACCATTTTACATGATACACATATGGCAATTATAATGATCTCTCATCCCAAATTTAACAATTTGGGATGAGAGATCTTCATTCTTTTAACTTCTCTTTGGAAGTCTCCCTCAAGATGTCATTCCTGGGTTGATGATGTATTTGTCTTCAGCAGTTGTCATAATGAGATGAGTTTTTTCTTTTTTTTTAGAATTTTGTCCAGTGAGATGTGATAGTTTATCCTTAATGAAATAAAGTGCAGTCCAGTAAAGAGAATATTCTCTTCTGACTGAATTATTATTACAAATACAAATAAAATATTGGTAATATTAGGAACATGGATTATTAAGGAACATTTTTTAAAACTAATTTTGTTTTTTAGCCCTAACAGAAAAACAGACTTTTGTCATACTAAACATACCTAATTGCTATACATGCACTAAGCAATTCACAATTTCAGAAGACATCATCACTGCAGTGGATAATAATCAAATGCTCATGGACAGACTAATCATCAGAGATGAAACTGATGCTACCTGTATGATCCACAGACAAGATGACAATCCTCCCTGTGAAAAACACCATCACCATCTCAGCCAAAGAAATTCCTGACTGACCAATCCAAGGCACTGGGGGTTTTTGTTTTTTTATGAGAAAGGTATTATTCACTACAAATTCATCCCTAATTATTACACAATCAACAAAGAGCTGTACCTGAAAGTGCTGAAACGTTTAAGAAATACCATACACTGTAAAAATATCCATAGTAATCATTATGTAATAATGATTACTATGGATATTACTAGGGATATCATTATTACATAATGATTACTAGGGATTTAGTTGGTATAGAAGGATGCATGAGGACATGTAACGGTCATAGTAAAAATAGTGCATCATATACGTATGAGAAGAGTGAATGTGATTCTGAATGATGGGGGACACAATGCATGAACATTCAAAGAAAATAATTTCATGAGAAAAAGTTCTAATTCTTAATACTTATTAAATAACTTGAAATTATATTTGGATATATCAATTAAAAATTCATTTAGAATAAAAAGTTTGTTATATCTAAACAATAATTTAATGAATAATTTGTTAGTGTCTTCCAGAATAAAATAAAAAGAACTTTAATATGAGAAAAAAAGCAAGGAAAAAAAATCACAAATTGTAATAAAAAATAAAAATTAAAAATCATGTTTTTAACCAGAAAAAATTTAATAATCAATAACAATAAAACTCCAATATATTATCAATCAGTTCACTCACTATTTTCTTTTTGATTTCTGATATGGTCATAGATTTTTTGATTGAAAATCTTCAACATTTTATCATGTGGCTCAAAAGGTGATATAAGAGGACAACGAATCATTCAACAGAAAGATGAAATCATTGTTAGCTCTGTTAACTCTGCCAGCCACTGTTCAGTCAACCATCAAGGAGCCAGCAATTAACTCAATTTCCTTTTTCTTGTTTTATTATCAAAACAAGAGAGATACAATATGGAATATTATGTTTATTTTTTATTTCATTAACAACTTTTTAATGTTGAAGTCAGTTAGTTCAGAATCTTTTAGACACCAAAGAAATTTCCCCTAAAAAATTCTTTCCATAGATTTTCTCTAGACCAGTGATTCTCAACCGCTGTGCCGCAGCATTTTAGTGTGCCGTGAGATTTTTGAAGTGTGCCGTCACTGCGAATGTCCCATACATAAGTGATGTGAGACAAGTAGTTTAATCGGTTCTACCTTCCTAGGGTGCATTTGGAAATTGTAACCGGTATTACCAGAAACTGCCGGTGGTTACTAAGACATTTAGAAAATGTGATCTAAATAACCAACTGCGTTTAAAAATCACTGTTATGACGTCACCGGTTGTCCTACAGTACTTACTGAAGTAACCGTGTGGGCTGCCAAATTTTTAAATTATTAAAATTGTACCATGACGAAAAAAAGGTTGAGAATCACTGCTCTATACAATTCACATTCTCTTGCATTTGGGAATTTTCCCCAACTTTGCAATGCTGGTTTTACATCTGCTATCATTAGTTTATGAACTGGTCACCAGGACGATGCTGTTAGCAATACCAAGAAATCAATTTGTTCACATATGCAGTTGAGTATTTTGGATATCATTAGGAAAAACATTCTTTCTTTTGTAGTTTTAAAACTGTAATTGCATTCTTTAAATATTTTAATTATTTCTTATGTAAATCATAAATAGTAGGACAGAGAAATCACTGATATCGGCGTTATATGTGCATTTTTTATCGCAAGTACTTTTGACAAACCTATAGTCGTTGTCGTCAAGCAAATACGGAAATTTTGTAAGAACAAACATAAATAATCCAATGAAGAGCAGAAGAACATAATAGATGAACTGGACAAGTCCATCTATTTTGTAACAACATCTATAAAGAACTGCTACAAAAAATGAAATAAAAAAATTAAGGGAAAGTGGAATATCTGAATTAAAAAATCTTCTAAACTGTACACAGATGATGTGTTTTTAACCACTGCATGGAAGTACAGAGTAAACAATGATGTGAAGTTACAGTATGTAAAAGTTTTGTTTACTTTCTAAAAACTTTTTGTGGAATAAACATCAATATGGGTTGTAAACTACATGGAATATTAGTAATTAATAAACTACTTACAATAATTACATATTTTTTTAGTTAAAAATTATATATAAAAAATTTTTCATAAAATAACTTTATTATATCATAATATGAATATATATTATGTAAACTGCTAAAGTTGAAATGTTACTAATAAGATCATGAATAACATCCAATTAAAATTATATGACCTAGTACAGTATAATGTCTCGACAAATGAATATATCAAAATATTGTATTAATCTACATTTCTATTGAATTTGCTAATAAAAACATTATGCTATTTATATAAAAATGTATGGTATTAACATTTACAATTTACAAAATATTTTATAATTTTCTGAAAATCTAAAGAAAGCTGACAAGGGCTCTTGCTCAACTTCCTCAGCAATCAAACAGGAGGTTAAGGAGTCAGGAAAACAATTTTCAAATATATTACAGCATAAAATTTAAATAACCAAAGCTTAAGAGAAATAATTTTGTTAAATTGCAAGAAATATCTCTATTTAAAAAAACATTTAATTTTAAAAAAACTCTCAGCATAAAGTTAAAATTGTATATGATTCCACCTGTTATGAGATTTTATTAAAAAATAATTTTTATATTGTTAATTATTACAAAAGGGAAAAGGCTTAATTTTGAAGAGAGATGAATTTTTTTAAATTGTAAATGCCAATAATGAGTAAAATTTTCATTAAATTTGGCCCACTTGAAAGTTAAGATATGACACCAACCCTTTATCTCCCCATCCCCTCATCCTTTAACCACCAAAATTTAATAGCATCAATACACCATATATAGAAATAATCTTGTCAACTTTCAAAATTTTTGGTTAGGCCAGTCCTGAGATATAATGAAAAATAGATGCAAACACACACACACAATTTAGTATTTTTTTTACTTTTAGGCTCCTTAAGTATCAAAATGTTGAGAAATACAAAAAATATCTGGGAAGATCAAAATTTGACCGATCACCATACTCTCACTGTGTTATATTCTTTAACAGCTGGGAAAGTAAAAATTAATTTTAAATACTTTCTATGCTTCTTTTAAAAAATTAGATTAGATAATCAATTAAACATTTGGTTCAAACACAACATTAGATAATTCAATGTAATTTATATACACAATTCAATATTCAGACTGGGGGAAAAAGCATTAGTCACAAAAATGTTCAAATAAATAAATGTGTGACTCATTTCACCATAAGTATTAGTTATTCAAATAAAACATTAATCATAATGATCAGTTTGTAACTAAGTGAATAAAAAAATGTTTAAACTGCAAATAAGTATATTTTTATACTACTAATGATATAACATCTATATAATTTTTTTAATTAACAGAATTCTTGAATTAAAATCATAAAAATTTTTTTATATAATTATAAAATCCTTTACTGCATGCAGAAATTTTTATTTTAAACAGCATTATAAATGGTAAATAGATGATTATAAATCTAATCATCTATTTTATCAACATATATTTTATTCTTTTACTAAAGGTTACAATTTTTTAGAAATGATTATTATTAACTACTAAATAATCATTTTTTGGGTCAAAAAACTGCATTGCTCAATAATTTCAATCATAAAATTAAACTCTACTTTATGAAATTGAATTGATATTATAATCATCTTAATTAAAAATACAATAATTTGAATTCAAACATCAGCCTCAATCTGTATATACATTGCAAGAGGGTTAAGTTATAACAATGAATAAGAAAAATTTCTTGTCAGATTTTGAATGGATATAAAAAATAAGGTGTACATTTCATCTCCTACTTTTTTGTAGTATTGTATAAAATAAATTACATTAAAAAAACAATTTACTGGTAAAAAAAATAGAGAGATGTTCACTCTGTCCCTTTTGGATCAATGCCTGTGAATAAAAAATACAGTGAAATCGGTTAACGAACATAATCCATTCCAAGACTGCATTCACTATCCTAACCTATTATCAATTTACCATAGATTTTTATGAGAATTTGATTACAGTAGAGCATCGATTATCCAACTCAATTGGGGACTGGGGTTGGTCGGATAACTGAAAAGTTGGATAACCGAAAAGTATGAAAAAATCCATTATTAGTGTAGTATATTGTTATATCCCATGTAATTAGTATATAGTCTATTAACCTACTTCGCGTTGAATTTTCCTCCATGTTAAGCCTATCAAATTTTTTTTTTTTTAAATAATAATTGTCACTATTGTATCGTTAAAAATTAGAAAATTAAGCCTCATTTAAATACTGGCTCCCTTTCATAGTCGAGCCAGTGTTGCCAGCTAAAACACAAAAATAATGTTAAAGTAGCCAAGACAGCCAAATATTGTAGCACCACATCACTAGCAGACATTTGAATTTGTCGACTAGAACACAATCGGTTAACCGAGGTGACGGTTAATCAGGGGTTGGATAATCGATGCTCTACTGTAATTTGTTCTGGGGACTCCCAAAAATAAATAATTATATGCTTTCTTATTATGTTTATATATATATATATATATATATATAAATGGACGTGTGTGTGCCTATATTTCACTCTGCAGTCAAAACTACACATTGCACATGAATGGTGTTTGTATGTGGTAGTAGCCCCAAGTCTCCCATCGTGCACTATGATGGTTGCATCTCGATAACTATATGGGTGTGGGAGATATGGGGTTGAAAGTGGCTGACTTTGAAAATGTGTAACAATGGAAGTGTTAGTAATGGAAGTGTTAACAATAAAAGTGTTGAGTAACCAAGGATGTATTAAGAGAAAGTGGTGTGCAAGATTTACAGGCGCAGATGCTGTTTTTTGCGTTATTGCGGGAAATCAAACATATTTTTAGACCCATGTAAAAATTCTCTAATTAGTCTAGAAACGGGGAACCTAATTCTTGCATTCTGTAAAAACGGGTAAGATTGGCTATAATGTAATCTTAATCTTAAATGTTTTTGAATAGTCAAGGACCATTATGTGTGAGTAGTGGGGATGGCTTTTGAAGATGTGTGACGCACATGCTTCAGTTGATTTTTTCATAAGTAAAAGTGTACGAATAACAGAAAAAAGTAGAAAGTGAAAAGTGAATAGTGAAGTGAGAAAAGTAAAAATATACAAAACAATGCCAAAGCATAAGAAAGAATTTTTGCGGTCTGGAATCATATTTCAAAGGCAAAAGATGGTGCGGAGAAATGAAACCACGGAAGAAGGAGAAGTATATCCAGACTGAGTACATCTAACATTGTTACGAGAAAATTATCAATGAAACAGAAATACTCTGACAGAAGGGCAACTTGAAAATTATAGGGAAACACATCGAATC